AAAGGAGACTCATACTTCTTTGGCTTTTCAGCATATAGGAAGTAATGTAGACAACACAGCCGTAAGCATCTAATATGAACTGCAAATCTGTGTTTGCTTGCCAAATTCGGGCACATGCGTCATTGTGCATATTCGTACGGAGTTCCATTGGAGTTCGTTTCAGAAAAACTTGTCTCTTCTTCAGCGAAGAACGTACTGCCCAAACACATTCATCCTGTGATAGTTTTAACTGTGATAACAGTTCTTCAAAAGAAATATTTTCATCATATTTCATTAAGTGTAACTGTTGCTTTATTTTGTCGTAATTTTGCTGGTGTTTTGCTTTTGCTCCAGGTGGCACATCATCAGGCAGGGGCTCAAGAATTGATGTAGCAGACATTGGAGGAACTGGAAATCCAAATCAACATACAAGTTTGCCACCTTTTTTACAGGTCTTTGTGTGTTAGTGTTCATGTAACTTGGAAATCTCGATAAGCTCAGCATCTTCAGTTTGTCTTTTACAGGTAATGTATTTATCTATGAAGTCGATGACAACATCATCAGCATTCCTTCCATGCTGGGGAGCACCTTTGATCCAAAATAAGCAATTCAGCCACGCTGCTGAAATTCTACCCTGTAGAAAAAGTCATCAATTTGTCCAATCGGAGAAAGAGTGGATTTAAGTACGCCATGAAAGAACACCTGAACTCTTTGATCAAAGTGCCTAGCACTTAATACTGGATCATTCTGAATTAATTCAGACTTCTGCTGCCAAGTCAAATTCGAGATATCTTTACCAGAGAGAATTTTTCCATTGACACTGAGACTTAAGTTCTTCAGTAGGTCTCTCCATTTTGTTTCTGCAGCAGAGAACGATCCAAAAAATGTTGGTATGCCCAACTGGCGGATCATGGCAAAGATGTCTTTTCGGCGAGCCTGCCAATATGGTGGAGATGAGCGGAGTGTCTTCAAAACACGATAGCCCTGGTTTACATGAATTAAATCTTCAAGTGCTCCTGGTTGTCTAAGATATCCAGCTGTATATGTATCAAAGACATTTGTTGTTTTACGCAAAGCAGTCGTTGCCAGATCTCTGATCTGTAAAGTTTGAAGTTTCTTCAGTTTATCCCTAAAGGGGCCGGGGGGCGGAATCGCCCCCTCCCCCCCCCCCCCGCAACATTTTTCGTTATAGCCTCTAAAACAATTTTTTTCGCGACCTGAGCTGTTATGACTTTTTAGCCTCGATTTTTGCGCATCTTTTGACATAAAAATCGGACCACGGGTTGCCGCGTAGCGAAAAATTTTCCGGCGCTACGCGCCGTAAAAACTGAATTTTCGCATATACGTCGTGTACACAGAGCAGAATTCGTACATTATGAATAATTAAATAGCCATAATTCCAAAACCCTTTGACCTATAGTCATGAAATTTCTTGGGTTTGTTTAGGAAGAGTTGCTCTATGCATGTGTCGAGTTTCAAAATTTTTCGTCACTCGATGGCTGAGAGATGGTCAAAATAACCCGGCCCCTTTAGGGTTAAAAAACAAATTGGGAACTGACATAGCAAACCGTCTGTCGGCACTGCGTAGTTCGACTTTACAACTTGAGCTATATGTAAGTGGAGTGGTGCGTTGTGAATTATCCAGCCTACGTTTACCACAGAAGAGGGTGGGAAATGACTTCTCCTCACAATCTTTATCCAAGAAAATATTGATGGGATGATTACCTTCTCCTGGTGCTATTTTCAATGCATGTTGTCCATCACTTGAGAAGTCATTGGGGTAAAGCATTGTGTCCCTATTACCCCCTGAAAATTGCTCTTCAGTGGAAATTTCAGTCCAGTCGTCCGACTCTTTATTTCGATTCTCACCACTGATAATATCGTCATCATCCAAACTGGCCTCAATGTTGCCGACCTGTGTATCTACATTCATATCCAGGCCATCATGTTTTGCTATGAGGTTAACTGTTGTTGTGTCATTCCACTCTTGATTCTTCCAGGCCATATCTAACTGTATATTGTCATCTTTGTAAATCGGACTGTTCTTCACAAGCCATTCAGCAGCATCAAATATTTTCTTTGGTCGCACAGTTTCATAGTGATATGGAGTTTTATATTTCAATCTCTCATTAACTTCAACTGGATTGTCTCCATGTCTTGAAATGAGCGAGGGAGTGCAGCTACAGTTTTACACACATCAACAGGTACATTAACAACATTCCCCCTGATGCCAAATTGGTGGTCTCTTCCTAATTCTCTTATCTGCATAAATGGAATACGGGGTGATGTACATCTTTCCTCTAATGTAGTCAAGTTCTTCAGTGGAGCAGGAACATCTTCACAACAAAGACCATTGGCAACTGCCATGGGTGGAAGTTTATGCAGCAACATATGAGAATAACATGTTTTGCAGATCCACTCAACTCCAGCTAGGCTAACTATTCCACGGAGGCATGAACTTAGGAGAGTGGCTTGAATGTTTTTGGACTCAAATGACATCTTTGAAGCAACGTTGACATTGTGTCGATAAAATAAACCATTACAACATGTGCAGACATAATTTGGCCCTTCTTTGGTGTCAAAGAAGCATTTTATTTTAACTTCTGTCACAGAGAGCGGTCTTTGCTTTTGTTGTTGCTTTCTTGCTTTGTCAAGTTGCATTTCACGTTGGAAGTAGCTTGTGTTCATTCGCTGGTTTTTTTCCGGATTCTTTCATGATCCTTTGCTGACTTATTAGGTTTGCATTTATTTCGTTTACTCCGCACAAGTTCCAAGTCTTTTACTCTTTGTTTACTTCTGTATTTTGGGTTACTTCTTCTATGTAAACTTTCAAATTCTCTTTCTTTTTCTTTACTTCTGTAATCTGGGTTACTTCTTCTTCTTTGTATACTTTCTAATTCTTTTTCTTTTTCTGTACTTCTGTAGTCTGGGTTACTTCTTCTTCTTTGTATACTTTCTAATTCTTTTTCTCTTTCTTTACTTCTGTAGTCTGGTTTACTTCTTCTTCTTTGTATACTTTCTAATTCTTTTTCTTTACTTCTGTAGTGTGGGTTTACGGTTACTTCCTCTTCTTTGTACACCTTCTAATTGTTTTTCTTTTTCTTTACTTCTGTAGTCTGGGTTACTTCTTCTTCGATGAACACTTTCTAACTCTTTTGCCTTCTCTCTGTCTCTGATCTCTGAAACATCTCTTCTTTTCTTTTTGCAATTGCTTTCCCACACAGCTTCCTTTTTCCTAAATTCTGGGTCTTTTCGTCTCAGTTGCTTCCTCAGGCGATCTTTTTCTCTTTTAAGTTCCATCTTGCTTTCTTCCGTTTGTTCTGTTTGACTCGATTCACTGGGTAGGCGATCTTGATCTGTCAACTGTTTTTCCGTTGTTTTGAGAGTTTCCGTTGTTGTGGGAGTTTGACTGAAGCGATGTTTAGCCATCTGTGTAGACGATTGGCACTTGACACTGACCTGTTTTTTTTTAGAAGCAAATTGTAGCTGCTGCTTGAATTCCCGTACAAGCCAAGTAAATTCTGTTGTGTTGTTTTTAGCGCGCATCTCCATGAGAGATGTTTCACCAGGCTGATGAACGCTCCATTATGCCTCATAATGGTTACCATTCTTGTGATGAATATAGAACGATCGGTCACTAACTTGGCATTTCTATCCAGCATCTTTCCTGTAAATTTATGCCATCTGGGATTTGCAGTGTTGTTGTTTCCAGCTGAGTAAACATAAATATCCGTCCACAAAAGATAAGCAGCAGTAAATATCTCCACATCAGTGGCCCATGAACCATCCTGTAACATATTACTCCGAGCTAAATAAACTGGTAAAGACGTCCTTTCATCAAAGCAAAACTTCTCCACAGGCATCCTGATAACATTCATGTTGGACACAACCAAACTTCGCAATTCACAATGAAATCTTTCACTTCCTCTAACTAAATAACTGAGAGTCCTAAAGAAACAGTTTCCATCGACAATGATAGGTGCAATCGATGTCGGTTTCCCTGCTGAGTGAGCCAAGTTACACTCGGGTAAAATATTGACAAGTGGCAATGACATTTGTTGACAAAGTCGCATCTGCAAACCTTCATCTATTCTATGAAATGCAAAGCTCCGTTGACTTCTGCCTTGAAAACTAACACTTTCTAATTGTGTTTGACTGTCATGATTTATGGTGTGTTTTGCCAGTGGAGCTGACTCACGTTTGGTACCGGTAGTTTTCAGCTGCGATAGTTGAGACTGGTCATCAGGGTGGGAACTTATTTGCTGCGATAGTTGCGACTGGTCATCAGGGTGGGTAGACTGTGAGGAAAAGGAATCCCCACCAGTAGTCGGTAGTTTTCTTGGATTAGGGCCTTGACTCTTCACAGCTGCTGCATATGACACATGTGGTGTCTTTGATGAAGTATGGGGATTGCATTTGTGATGTTGAAGTCTCTGATATGACGAATCAATTCTGTTGCATTCACTGCACCACGTACACTTATGATTCTGCAGGGTCTTGGCACTTTTGTATGTCTTGTGGCATGAGTGGCATTCCATTGTATTTGATGAAGATGTAGCGACACGTAAAACACTTTCTAATTTTGTCCGTTTGGCCGCCCATACCTTTGCTGTGGCCTAAGGTCAAAGTGCGTTGCACTTGGAGACATAAAAACTCCAACAAACAAACGCACATGTAAATATCTCCATCTTGTTTTTATCACTGTTCAGTCAAGTTACTACTTCGCGTTCATCAAGTTTTCATCCGCTTTCATCGTTTTCCTCTGTGTACAATTTCGTCATCGTCATTCGTAAATATCATCGTCTATTTCGTCTTCGTCAGATGTACATAACTGTTAGTCTTTAAAGCCGAACTGTGTACGACGGAACGTACGGTTCCGACATAGTCGCGGTGCACCACCATCGGACTGATACACCACGCAGCAGGCCCAGGTTCTACAGACGGGCGCAGACATTAGTCACCAGAGGTGAGTCGGCTTTGCCACATAACAATTAAACCCACAAATTGGTGACCCTGACGTGATGGCCGAGTCAGACCCTCCCGTGGAACCCAAGCCCGTTCCTGTTGAATTAGCGCCCGCCGTGCCCGTGGCAGCAGTGAGTCTGAAACTGCCGCCATTTTGGCAAAATGACCCCACACTTTGGTTTGCCCAGGTTGAGGCACAGTTTCTCACCCGCCACATCACAGTGCAGGACACAAAATTTGCCTACGTAGTCAGTTCGCTCCAGCCGGACATCGCTCAAGAAGTGCGCGATTTACTGGTTTCCCCACCCACTCACGATCGCTACAACACCCTCAAAAAGGAATTGTTGGGGGATAGAAAACCGTCTCAGCTGTTGCGACGTATGCGGCAACTTCTAGGCGAGAACACCCTGGAGGACAACATTCTCAAGCAACTGTTTTTGCAACGTCTTCCCACGACAATCCGAGGGATTCTTGCCTCCACATCAACCGTGGTGAACATCAAACAGCTGTCCGATATCGCCGACAAAATCGTCGAGGTATCGGTACCAACAGTGTCTACAGTGAACACTCATGCCGCTGCAGTTTCCAGCCCTGAACCTGCCCATACGGTCGCGAATTTCCAGACCCTCGAGACAAGGATCAACCAGCTTACTGAGCAAGTCCAAGCTCTCACTGGCCAACTATAAGCCATCAAACACGACAACGGTCACTGTCGCAGAGCGGACCCTTGCACCGCTCTACTCAGACCAAAAATCAAGGAATAACTCAAAAGAACAGAGGACTCAACACAGGATTTATCAATCACAAAATTAAACCATTTATTACGAGAAAGAAATAAACCAAAAATGAATTATTATATACATCTGTTTGATTACCGGCCAAAATTATGTTCACAGTTTGTGTCCCCAGAGTGTTTTAGTGTTCGCGTTACATTGCCTCATTAAAACCAACGTAATTCTGACACAGCTCTATTTATTACAATATAAGTATGACACAGCTCTATTAATTACAATATAAGTATGACACAGCTCTATTAATTACAATATAAGTATTTGGGTCCGGCTTGAGCGTCGCCGTGGGACGATTCCCCCTATGAACTTGAGAGCTTGAGAACCCGGTCTGCTGCAGAGGTAGGCCACCTACGCACCGACCGTCGGAGAGTAGGTGGAAGTTCACGTCACGTCAAACTTCAGTGAAAGTATTAAGGACAGTGGCCGCCCCGCTAGCCATCGTAGGGTAGGATTACGGGAAGCCCTGTAATATCCATAAGTACATTCGAATAAAAATGCGGGTTGGGCCAACATTTCACATTCAAGAAATACACAGGTTATAAGTTGGTGAAATATTACAACTTCACACAATGAACACGGTTTTCACTTTAAATGCACAAGTTTCTTACACCATGAAACGGCATTCATCTTAAATGTGAAAATACAGATTTTTCCCAAGTATACAATACACACTACACAATAAATGATTATACATTACTACTAAGAATAATTACTCACACGGCCTTCGGCTTCGTACGGGCCTATCCGTGGGTCTGGCGTTCCCGGGAGATTGCGATGCGGTACTAACACAATGGGCCTCAATCGCCCACAAGCGGGATTTTTAAAAACTCCCCTCTAAAAGAGGGTACAAGAAGTCCGCCCGACACGCAGCCTTCGGCGGCTCCCAACTCGACAGCCTCAGCGCTGAAGGTCCACACCCATCCGCTAAGCGAACACCCAACCCGGCGAGACACACTCACTCCGGCTCCCGCACCGCAAAACTCAATCCGAAAACACGTGGGCGAGGGTTTTATACCCCTCCCCGGAATGCCAGTTACCAGATTAACCCAGTTATGAATACAAACTTACTGGAGCTTGCACCACGACTGAGCCCCACATGGGTGCAAGCCCGGAATAGGTATGCAACAAAGGGAAAGGAAATACGATTTGCATAATTCATCTAGCATCAACCTCAGATGTTACATAACACTTTACGGGAGTACAAATTTAGTCTACTAATAAATTAACTCGGAAAATAAAAGGAATAATTTTAACACGTCTTGTGACACTCACTCCCTCTTAAGAAAATTATTACCTTCAGATATAACACTCAAAAGTACCATTTTCGGATACATGTTTTAAACACCAAATCATTTTTCAGTAGAAACACTTAATATTTACAACACTTCACAAATTGGCGGAAGATCTTCTCGTCAAATTAAGTTATTCTGGACACCTACTGAGGTAGTCAGCACCAAGATTGTCTGAACCCTTAATCGCTTTTACTAGATACCTGTACGGTTGCAACTTGAGGGCCCAACGCATTAATCGATGGTTATTAATACGGCTCTCTGCTAGACATGTTAATGGATGGTGATCCGTTTCTAACACAAACTCAGTACCATAGAGATACACATGAAACTTATCTACTGCCCAGACTAAAGCAAGACATTCACGCTCAATTACCGCATAAGCTGCTTCACGGGGCAAAAGTTTGCGGCTAGCGTAACACACTGGGAATTTCACATCATCCTCTGTTTGCATTAGAACTGCTCCAAGTCCGACATCGGACGCATCTGTGCGCAGCACGTACGGTTTTGTTGGGTCTGGCAATCGCATGATTGGTGCAGACGCTAGACGCTGTTTCAGTGCATTGAATGCGTTCTCTTGCGCATCGCTCCACTGCACTTGATTGGGCTGACCTTTCTTTGTCAAATCTGTGATGGGCGCGGCTATCGCAGCGAAGTTTGGAATAAACTTACGATAGTAATTGGCAAGGCCAATAAAAGACCGAACTTGTTTCTTTGTTTCAGGTCTCTTAGAGGTGAGTATACGATGTACCTTATCTGGTTGTGGTTGCACCCTCCCTTTGCCAACAATATGGCCTAGGAAATCTACTGACTCAAATCCAATCTTACACTTGTTGGGTTTTGCAGTAAGCCCTGCATCCCTCAACCTTTTCAAGAACCTGTCTCAATAATGAGTACATCATCAATGTAATGAACAACATTGGTTTGACCATCTAACAACCTTCGCATCATGCGAGTGAACACGGCTGGGGCATTTACCTTGCCGAATGGGAGAACCTTAAATTGATACAATCCCTCTGCTGTGATAAAGGCACTTTTGACTCTGTCTGCCTCTACTATCGGTATCTGCCAATATCCTTTGGTCAGATCCAGCTTAGAGAAATATTTTCCCTTGCCTACTTTACACATGATATCTTCTATGTTGGGTATCGGTTCAGGATCGAACACTGTTATCTTGTTAAGTTTGCGATAGTCGATACAGAATCGATTAGAGCCATCCGATTTCTTTACAATGACAACTGGTGATGCATATGGAGATTCGGACTTTTCAACAACACCTAGTTTTAACATGGAATCGATTTCATCTCGGATTGTTTCCTGCATTGAGTGTGGTACTGGATACGCTTTACAACGAACTGGGTCAGTACTAGTCAACTGCACAGTATGTTCAATTAGAGTTGTATGACCAGGTACATCAGTGAGGACACCAGCGCAATCTTGCAACAAATCAATGATTTCGCGTTTCTCGACCTCTGTTCTGTTTTCACAGATGTCTACATCTCGATAATTCGTCAGTCGTACCACGAACCGTCGTATCCTGGTATTTTGGGCAAAGTGACATTTTTGATTTTTATCATTAATAATGTTAAACTGAATTATTTTACGGTGATTTTAGACCAAATTGAGCTGTAATTTTGAAATATAGGTAATCAGAAAAAAATATTAATCTGCAAATATAAATGAAACTGTTTTCACGAACCGACTTATACATTTACGCCGCTTTGTCAGTCCACAGAAATTACGAAAAACCGTTCCACGAACTGTCGTATCTTTTTACGACACTATGTGGAAACGTAGTGTGTCATTTTTATTATGCGCCCTCTGTTGGTTACGTCAATTAGCTTTTTCGTACCCAGGACTCTTGAACTTGCGTGCTTGTTTTTTAAACAAAGGCAGACTCTGCTGGGAACGAGGAAAAGCATTGCTTCGCACACGTACACGTTGTACGTACGTACATAGCATACGTACGGCTGTGCAGCTTGCAGTTTGCTGGGGCTGACTCAGTAGGCAACTTCAGGCCATTAAAATGGCTGAAAATGGCACCTTGCCCTCCACGGATACCATGACAAATAAAGGAAGTGAGTATTTTTCTTTTATAGATCTCTATGTAGCAAATATATGTAAAACACTCCCAAAAACATGATGTAAGCTTGAGCTAGCCAACGTTAGGGCCTAGGCCCTAGCTAAAGATTGGAATGGTTTAGGCAAGTCATTGATTCGACGTTTCATATGTAGGCCTACTTGGCTTTGTGTAAAGGCCTATATAATAATTATTAATAGTGCAATTTCGCTCAATCCTTTTAGAACTCTTGGACTCGGCCTCCCTTTAAATAATAAAATATAATCCCCTCAAGCTCGATCGCTTTAGTAGCCTACTTGAGTACTACTTAGTCTTGGCTTACAACAAAACATGTTTTTAGTCTTGCATGCATGATGTAGGCCTCCCCAAACAGGCACACTGTCACTGTTTCAGTTTAATAAGGAAAATTTCAAGTTTATACGTGCATCCATGCCCCCTTACTTGTCTATAATTGGGGTGTTTTTCTTGTTCCCTGTCCTAAACCTCACCTGGGAGTATAGTCCTGCCTTAATAATAATAAACAACACAACAATATTCTCTGGCTAGACCAATGCCTGGCTTTGGTCAGTGAGTTGAAGTAGGGCCTATCGGTGGGCCAGTAGGGTGGGATAGCCCATGCAAATTGGTAAAATAGACATTCCAAATGATTACCCTATTCCCACATTTTACATCCTCTGGCAAATATGTAATATAAACAAAGCATTACCTCGCTACATGTACTATCAAAAGTTACATTACCTGAGAGTCATCATTAAAAATGGATTCAAAATAGCATTCTTTGAATATAATTTTCAACTTCAAATTCCAGATATTGACATCCTGTTTAACAACGACCTTTCTTCAAAGTAAGACCACATTGCCAGTTTACAGTATAGATGTATAAAGCAGTTTGTACTTCAATTTAAAGATAACTTTGTTTCTCAATGTTTTCCATTTAGTCACAGGCACCTCTCCAAAAGATGTCTTGGTCCAGTGGAGTGACCACACAAAGAATGTAGTTAAATCCAGCGAGTTACATTTTCGTGGACTATTACATCAACATCAGCGGGTGAAGATGAGGTGGGGAAGAACTTGGTGGAGGGGCAAGGTGCTTGCCTATGAATCAGCAAGTCAAGGTATTTGAAAGAAGCACTCGTACAGCTAAAATTGGAATCGAACATGGCAAAATAAAGTTTTCTTTAAAATGCCCATGTTCGTACCCCATTATTAATCAAATGAAGTTCTTCTCAGTTGGTATAATCACACACATCCTCAGTGAATTTCTGTTTTCATTTTGTTCTTGAATTGTAGAGGCATCTGATGAGTCTGAGACCTTCCGTGATGTGGATGTTACATCTGAGCAAGGTACGTACATTTTTATACTGCATGTGTGTAAGTGATAAGGATGGGAAAAGAAGTATGACAACTCGATGTGTATTAAACATTGTTGTAATAGGATGATTTACTGTTTTGCAGATTCCTCTGACAGTCAGGTTATCGGAGAGCTTAGTGACAGTGACTTGGACGAGATGGATGACATTCCACTTACACAGCTGCAGACACACCTGGCATCAACTCAAAGTGAGTATCACATGGAGATAGCATCCTATACATCTTCAACATTATAGCACGTCTTTCTTTTACCCAAAATATCCATCAAAGGAACTTGAGCTGAATTAGGATTCTAAGCGTATCTTTGAGTAGTCCTCTGGTGAGTGCAGATGTCAAGCCTGACAATCTATATGTAGTTTCTCCTTCTTGATACCAAATGACACCTGAAGTTGCTTTTCTTAATGATTCATAAGTAGGGACAAATGCTATTATTTGTTATGTTTATGTTGATTTCATGTTCTGTTTCTTTCCTGCAGAGCCACTCCATGAAACTGATGGCAATGGGAAAGTGAATGTTACTGACTCAGAGGAGATGGATGACATGTCATTGATGCAGTTGCAGACACACTTGGCACGTACCAATAGTAAGTTTCACCTGAATATGTTAATATTTGAATGAGTGATTCATTTGTTTCGTATCAGTTTATCTTCACATCGTGGCTAGTTGACATCCAACATTATTTTCTTATCCTTCTAGAAATTTTAACAGTCCTGAGATAGACATGCATGAAAGTACACCATTGAAAAAAAAGCAGCTTGTGGCACTATCTTATAAAAACTGTAGTAAAACAAAGTACTAATAACACAGCATTGTTGGTGTTGCTAATGTGATTGTTTCTGTGCCTTGCAGAAAGCATGACATCATCGGAAGCTGCAGTCTGTCCACCGTCTCAGACTGGTAGGTACCAAATGGAGTATTCACTCACTTTTTATATTTGAAAAGTTCAAGTAAAATATCTTAAAAGTTGTTTCACAGTGGTTTAGAATCTTATAAAAGATAAATGATTTCAAAATTTTAGCTTTGAGTTTTTGTAGGAAGAATAGTAAAAACAAAATCACCTAGTCATTTAACTCAGCTTTCAACAATTCTTGGCTTCCTTTTTTTTGCCACACACACTACATATTTCCTTTACATCTATCTCATTCAAATGTGAATGAATTCCTTGATGTGATTTTAATTTCTATGCAGCCCAAGACCTCAACGCGAACAAGACAACAACACCCACTGAACTGGCTGCCACTGCCATCCCAAATGCAACAACACCTACAAAGGAGGCTGGTGAACACCAGGAAAGCCAGATGATGAACATATCTGAACAGTGTTCAGAGTTTCATTGCCTTCAGGACATTTTTGCCGCATGTGCTCAATGTCAGTGCTTATTGTGCTTTGAACATTGAACATTTTATTAGAAGTGATGCATGTTCAAATCACAATAAGTATTTCTCTGTATACGTAGATAACATGTCATCCTCTGTAATTGACAACTCTCCCTGTTTTGTTGAGGTTGGCACTACTGATAACACACTGATTCAGGATGAAATGCTGACCACAGTTGATGTGGGAATGAACATTGACTGTGTAAGTGATCCATCTCAACAAAAACAACCCGAAGATTATGTGGTAGATGGAGAAGAGAGAGTTGAAACAGGGTTCTCTGCTAATGTTCAGCCATCTGGCACTAAAGCAAGGAACAAAAATGTCACATTTAAGCGAAACCAGGGAGAGTCATATTATACTGAGAAAACCAATAGGTATGTCCTGCCAAGAAAAGAACAAAACAAGCAAAGGTGTTCATCTGCATTCTGTGATGTAAGACAGTTGTCATGCAAGACATTAACGGAGTCAGACCGCAAGTCAATACAGCATGCATTTTATGATTTAGGCAACTTAAGCTTACAACGCCAGTGGATTTCTCGCCATCTTGAAATACAGAATCAGAGCCAAAACCCCAGAAAGAAAATTAAATTGAAATATTTTCTTCCACTCAATGAAGAACTTCAAATATGCTCCAAGGTACAAGTGTGTAAGGTTATGTTCCTGAACACGCTTGGGTTGTCAGAAAGACAGGTCAGTACCGTGGTTAAAAAAACAAGGCCTTTGGGTGTGATAGAACCAGAGAAGCGAGGTGGTAGGGTGAGAAAAGATCTAGACCAACAATTAGCCGATGAAGTGCACAAACACATCAACAGATTTCCTAAAATGGAATCACACTTTTGCAGAGCGAACACTGGCTATCAGTATTTGTCACCAGACTTAAACATAAACAGGATGCACAGATTGTACCTCGAAGAGCACAAAAAGAATGGCAGAAAAGCTTCTTTGAGTTTTTACTCGAAGATTTTCAAAAGCATGAAACTCAAGTTCCATTCTCCCAAGAAGGACTTGTGTGGGTTGTGTGATGCCTACAGAAAAGGAAATGAAGAAGAAAAAATGCGGATGTGTATCGATTACGAAAAGCATATTCAAGAAAAATGCAAAGTTCGAGAACTTAAGGAAGAGATGAAGGAAAAGGCGCACTTGAATCCTGAGACTTTTGTGGCATCAGTATTTGACTTGGAGCAAGTCTTGTACCTGCCCAGGTCTAACAGAGGTGAACTTTTCTACCAACGAAGGTTGTCCTGCTATAATTTCACTGTGTATGATCTTGCGAGCAAAACTGGATACTGCTATTTGCATCACGAGGGCTTAGCGAAGCGTGGATCGAATGAAATTGCTTCAAACTTACTTAACAGTTGTAGACAGGGAAAAGAAAAATGAAGCAGCCTTTTTCTGTGATGGGTGTCGTGGCCAAAACAAAAACTCAGTCTTGCCAGCTATGCTCATGCACTTTGTCAAACACTCAAAATCGATGAAAAGTGTGACAATATCATACTTTGAAACAAATCACGGTCAAAGTGAGGGCGATGCCATGCATAGTACGGTAGAGAGAGCTATGAAAAACTTTGGTGACATCTTTCTGCCTGCACAACTCGCTGCCCTGATCAAACTGGCTCGCCGAAATCCTTCTCAATACATAGTTAATGAAATTCAAACAACAGACATCCATGACTGGAAACAACTCTCAAGAGACATGCATATTCTGAAAGTTCGCAAAACTGTGGAAGGAGAGCCAGTTGATTGGACTAAAGTTATGGCTGTGAAGGTAGAAAAGAACTCCCCAAGTAAGATCCAGGTGAAATTTTCTCACACTGACGTGAACTTTTCTACCATTGCTATCGGTGAAGGGCAAAGAAAAGTTGGTCATCAGCTTGAAATCAGTCCTAAAAAGGCATACCCAAAGGGACCGCCCAAGCTGTCCCAAGACAAGTATGCTGATCTGATGAAGATGTGCACTGGCACTACGCCATTGATTTATCATGCAGATCATGTTTCATTTTACAAACACTTGCCGCACCAATAAGACCACACGCTCCATATCAGTGTCAGAATCTGCAAGCTTTGGTTGAAATCATTGTGTTAACTTCAGTTTGTCACTTCATCAAGCATCGGAATTTGCATCAGTGTAACATGTGCCATTGATAATTCATTAATAATTATTGTAGCAAAAATGTTTGAATGAATTTATGAATGAATTTGAGCTACAGAGTTTCAGTGTGTAAAGACAATTTTGTGCTTGAATAAAAATACACAATTGATGAGAACCTGTAACATTGGAACTGGCAAGCTGTTATTTTTATGTTATCATTGGTCTTGCTTTGAACATAACTTGACTTTCAACTCCAGAATAGTGCATATTGGGGAAATAATGCTCTAAAACAACCAGGGAAGATTGAAATTGAGCCATTCTGGCACCCCTTGTAAACGCAGTGCATGAATTCAATACATGTACACGTATAACATCAAACCACGCATGCGCAGTAGGGATAAGTCACACGCGCTGGGACAAAATCGCCACATTTTCGTTCCACGAACTGTCGTAACTTTATACGTCACAATCGCGGTGTTCGAAAACAGGCAAATGATAATTTCACAAAAACGACGTTTGATTTCCGAACAAAATAACATTCAACAACCGGATTGTTGACACAAACGATAAGTATTTAATTAATCCACGATTATTCTGCTGCGAGGCTGCATAAAATGGATTAAATTGTAAATCTGCTTGTTTGAAATATGAGTCATTGAAAACATGCCCAACCTTAAACCGTTTTTTCTCAAATCAAGGTAAGTCTGAGTTACGACGGTTCGTGGTACGACTGACGAATTTTGAGTTTGTTTTGTGGACGGAAAAGTAATTTCCATCAAATTGTCATCGTCTGCCTCAATGATGTTTGTAGACGCACGAACAAGGCTTGCCGCAGCATGCACGGTCTCTGCAATATTGTGCTCGCTGTCCTCATTCCTTACAACATACTTCTTGAGAAGATTTGCATGAAATGTCTTCTGTTTACCCTTCACAACGATTGAATAGTCATGTTTTGCAACCTTCTTGACTACCTCGTATGGTCCCTTCCACTGCATTTTTAGTTTGTTATTATCAGTGGGACGCAGAACCAGAACTTTGTCTCCTACTACAAACTTACGATCCCTAGTTCTAGCGTCATAGTATTTTTTATGTCGCTTAGATGCTTTGGCAAGTTCTTGCCTTGCTAGCTCACAAGTTGAATCAAGGCGATCACGTAAGTCTACTACATATTCATATGTGGTTTTGACCACTTCTTCACTGTTTTCACCCGTCCAAAGTTCCTTAAGAATGGCCAGAGGGCCCCTTACAGTTCTACCAAACATTAACTCAAACGGGGAAAAGTTGAGACTCTCTTGCGGCACTTCCCTGTATGCAAACAAGGAGCGCTGGCAAATAGCGATCCCAATCTTTGGGCCGGTCGACGCACATTTTTCGCAGCATTTTCTTCAGCGTGCCATTAAACTTCTCGACCAAACCATTACACATGGGGTGGTACGGTGTCGTTGTCATTTGTTTTAATGACAACAGACGTCCAATTTCCCTTATCAAAGCCGAGGTAAACTGGCTACCCTTATCGCTGAGAATTTCTTGCGGTACGCCCATGCGAGAAAATATCTCAACCAAAGCCTCAGCCACGCGTTCAGTTTCTATGCGGGGAAGCGCAACTGCCTCGGGATACCTAGTCGCGTAGTCCACTAGCGTAAGGATATATCTATTCCCACGCTCAGTGACAGGGTCGATTGGGCCAACTATATCGACTGCAACCCGTCGAAACGGAGTGTCGATTAATGGCATTTGTCCTAATGACACTTTACTTACACTACCCTTAGTAACTGTACGTTGGCAGATGTCACAGGAAATGCAATATCTTTGTACATCCCCGTTAACACCAGGCCAATAGAAATGGGCTTGAACTCGATCTAAGGTCTTCTTAACTCTCATGTGGCCCGCCATAGCCGAGTCATGAGCTAGTTGTAACACCTGATCCCTAAACTGGTGAGGAACTACCAATTGTTTAACTGGTTCTCCAGTATCTGCCCTACATGACTTGTACTCTCTGTAAAGTAGACTATTCTTGACTACATAACGACTCTCGTTACCAGCACCTGTGACTTTCGGTGTACCTACTTTAGCCAATTCCCATAATTTACTTAGAGTTTGATCAGTCCTCTGAGCATTTTCAATTTCCTGTCTAGTAGCAGATAACCCAGTACTCTTCGACACTATCATTGTTTTAAAAGGTTGTTCTTTCTTGACCTTTTGAGCCCTAGTCTCTACTGCTGCAACTGATTGGCTGCTAGTTTGACTTTCACTTTCTTGTGCGTTTTTTGCAAAACTAGGTTTCCACTTAGGGTCTGGATCATTGGGCTCCCTAACACCTGTCACATTACCTAACACAAGATCGTACAGTGGACTCTCCAAACGCAGTGCTTTAACTGACCCTACATAATACGGGGTGTCTACTTTGATTTGGGCAACAGGAAAATGACGAACTGTGCCGTCTAACATGACACAATTTTCACTTGACCCCAACATTTGGCCATCACTGACCAGACATCTTTTCACCACTACGGTGCTACAACCACTGTCCCTAAGAACATCAATCTTTTGATTTCCTATGTACCCACTCAAAACCGGCATGGTCTTTGGAGTCATGCATGCTGCACTAACTACCGGCAATGTGTGACCGCACGCAAGTTTTACGCTACTCGCTTTTTGGCTTGCGCAACTAAATGGGTTTTGGCAAGCAGCTGAATTAATTTCAACACACGCAGCCACTTTATGCTCACTATTTACAGGCTTTGTTTCACCTTTGTTTGTTGATTCAAGCGCAGCGCCTTTGCTCGTTTTGCTGGGTGACTGATTTGGACCGCGATACTTGCTATAACATTCTCGCGCCACATGTCCCCGCTTGCCGCATACATAGCATCGCCTAGTTTCGCTATCCGCATTTTGCGCAGATGGTTTTGAGTTAGGTCTGGACCCACTTTG